TATGTCTCTAGACAAAAAACATTTGTGCAGAAAGATAAAAGAACTATAAAACACTAACATTTTCAGGTAGTCTGAGATTTCCAGAAAATAAGGAACATTGGTTTTCTTCTGAACACTTAGCATAATAGAGAGCTTTCGACATAGATGGACTTATTGTCTATTCCGCTGTATATATGTGGTTTATTTAGTTATGAGAATATTTATTTACAGGCAGACTGGGCTTTATGGAAAATATCTATTCTTGAAAATATTAAGTATAGAGCAAATGCTAGTAATTGCAATCAATCTAGAGGTGTTTTCTGATAACCTTTTACATGTTTGCAATTGGGCTAGATAAGGCGAACAGAAGATAGGAGAGACATATACACTGTAGTTTAGAAAAAGGGAGCATTTAGTAAAGAACTAGGCTAGGCATTTAAAAACAGCTAACTGAACCAAACAAGCCACTAGCCCAGTGATGGCGAACCTTTTGAGCTCAGCATGTCAGCATTTTGAAAAACCCTAACTTAACTCTGGTGCCGTGTCACATATAGAAATTTTTTGATATTTGCAACCATAGTAAAACACTTATCTTTTTGATATTTATTTTATATATTTAAATGCCACTTAAGAAAGAAAAATCAACCAAAAAGATGAGTTCGCGTGTCACCTCTGACACGCGTGTCACAGGTTTGCCATCACTGCACTAGGCTGTGCTCCTTTATGATAAGACAAAAACAAAACAAAACACACACACAAAACAAACACACAAAAACCAATAATAGCACAGAGAGGGGAAATCTCGTTTTAATTGTACACAGACTGTGGAGCGCCCCAACATGTTTTCTCAGAAAAGCTACTTTTCTTTCCTAAAAGCCCTATGAGGACCAAGTGGACTCTGAGAGAAGGACTCAGAGAACGTGAGCAGTGCCAGCCTCCCCGACCCCCACCCCGGGGACCTCACCCAGCCTCCCCAGAAACGCCACCCAATGAAGAAGCTGAGGCCCAGTGATCATGGCAGCTAGAGGTTTTGCCGTCATAACAAATACCAGGTAAATCCTTTGGAAAAACAGCTATGTAGTCCAGATTCTGTCTTTTCTGCCAACACACAGATTGGGATGGTTAATGTTCCTCAAGGCAGAGGCCCTCTTTCCAGAGGGCCACAGTCAAGCAACAACAAACACGGGACCACCTTTCATGATGGATCTTCCAGCATGTTCTGTCCATGGTTTATTCTTGGGAGGGGAATTGGCCAAGTCTCTACTATAGACCAGGCACCGCAAACATGAGAGTGGAAAAGAGAAGCCCCGGCCCTCACAGAGCCGACAGTAGGTAAGTCCTCAGGCCGAAATAGCGCTCAACTTTCAGTTTAAGGAAGAGAGTAGAAAAGATTTATGGAAGGCACAGGTATTCAGAAGTTTATTCCTTTAATTAAACACTCTTCCTCCCTCACCCATTCCTCTCACTTATAAACACACACACTATACACCCCAAATACCCAAAGATACACAGACACGTATGCAAACTATAAAACACTACACAAATACACAAACTACAGGTGCTAAGAAACCCACGCATGCCTGCATAAAGACATGCTGACATATTTTCAAGGACCGAGCTGCACTCATGAACACACCTGTTTCCCTATCTTACCTATAAGAGAATGGCCATGATTATCAGCAAAAATACACATGTTAGAACACTTTCTAAGGTGGGCTGTGATTCTCAGTCCAGCTGCCCCTGTAGTTACCCCCCCCCATTGCTCCCATAAGTTCCTGTAGGTTAAATAGTTGGTAGCCAACTTCATGCATGTGCCTGTAAACAAGAGGGCTCAGCTTTAAATAATTATGTCAGAGAAATGACAACTGTGCTCTTTGCCAGAACAGGGATGAATAATTACAAAGCCAGGACATAATTAAGCAATTCTGACTGTCGGATCCTTGAACCGTCTCTCTGATGTGCAGGGCGGGAGTGTCCACCATGCACGCCCTCCTGGACAGGCCCCTGCACCACTTTGATCTGTGTTTCTCGTGTGGCGAGGGGGTCACGGACCGGTCATTACAGAAGCCGCTCTTTGCAGGGCCTCAGCCTTCTCTGTGCCCAGCTTGGTGCTCTCTGCACGGACAATGGCACGATTCAATGGCCAGTATTGGACAAAGATACATATTTTCTTTATAATTCTGGGAAATGAACAAAGCCTAGCTGTTGTAGTCCATTAACTGACAACACACACACACACACACACACACAGGCACTTGAGTGTCTAGAAGAGCCCATTGTAGCATTAGCTATCACTCCGTAATGAATGATAGCAGCCTTCTATAGAACAATCAGAGCTCAGACAGAAGGTGGCTTTTAAGCAACAAAAGCCAAAGGCAGGGATGAAGAACTATGTCAGCTGGGAGAGAGCAAGAGAGAGCTCGCACTCAAGTGCCAGGGCCTGCCAGGTACCAAATCAAACCTCGGGGACCTCGGGGCTTATTAGATCCTGGATGATTCTGCATTTGCATTAGCCAAGAACCCACACTGCCTGTTCCCTACCTCCATGGCACGGGCTGTGATGGGAGAGGCATTTTCCATCCTCCCAAATACGTTATGTCAGGAATAAAATGAAAACAGCTCCCCAAATCGGCCCC